CTTAAACAAAATTAAATTATTTATTTTTGCTTAATTATTTCATAGTCTGTCTAAAAATAAATATTTGTTTTCATATTTAAAGAAATATTTTAAAGAAAATTAAAATTAAGAGAATTACTGTTCAAATATTGTCAATTTAATATTTCTTTGAATACATTTTTTTGTATATTTGAATTGATCATTTTAATTCACTTACCGCTCACTTAATATCTTATCTATCAAACTTCCTCCACATTTATGCACATTTTGAAATCTGATTTCTTAATAAGAACTACATGAACTATTAGGAGTCGTTTGCTAAGCAACGCAGTGCTCATGGTTATCCAATTATACCCCACAGAAAGAAAGAGTAGAAACCTTGCTGTAAATGGAAAGCCAGAGCGACTAAATTAAAGTCAGCTGCTGGCGTTTTGATTTCTTGTGCGTTTTCCCACAAAACTCACACAGACAAAAGCACACACTCACACACACACATTGAGACTACAGCAATGAAAACGCAACATGGTTTAATTTGTTGGTGGATCCCTCATCTTGCGACGAACTCGTTTGGGTCGCTGTTGGCTCCCAACTTCGCGCAACTTGAGCGTTTTATAAATAGATGCCGCTAACGTTTGTATTGAGCACTTGAAAATAAAGTTTGGACGTAGCCATGTCGGCGACATCCACACATCCACACGGCAAGGATTAGGATGAGCTAACCAGAAGTATTGTCTCCTCCTCTTAGCTTCCAGCACATCGATGAGCTGGCACGCCAATCGCATGCACACAAAATCTCACTGCGGCGCACTGCCCTAGAGGCCCTATGCCCGGCGCGAGACCCTCCGCCGTGCATGCCGGCGGCGGAGCGCTACCGGACACACGATGGCACGTGCAACAACAAGCGCAGGCCCCGCTGGGGCGCTGCTCAGATGCCCTTCAACCGCTTCCTGCCGCCCGAATATGGCGATGGAGTGGACAGCGTTCGAAGCTCAACGGATGGCAGCACTTTGTCCTCATCGAGATTCGTCAGTCTGCTGGTGCATGGAGCTCGCGAAGGGGAAGCACCTCTGACTCTCATGATAGCGCAATGGGGGCAGATGCTGGATCACGACATGACGTCCACGGCACAGCCGCGGTAAGGAAAGTGAGTGTAGGATGAATGATAAGATTACCTTAGCTTTTGGGTCTCCCTCCAGTTCGATTAATGGATCCATACCCAGCTGCTGTGGCGGCAAGGATTTTCATCCCTCGTGCTTTCCCATCAAGGTTCCACTGGATGATCCCTGGCTGTCGCCGCTCAAAGTTCGCTGCTTGGAGTTTCTGCGCTCCGCACCGGCTCAACGGCGCGACTGTGTGTTGTCCTGGCGAGAGCAAACTAACCAGGCCACATCCTACATCGACGCCTCGCCAATATACTCTAACAGCGCCAAGTCCTCGGACAATGCGCGCATTTTCCGCAACGGACTGCTGATATACGGCCGCGGCAACCCGGCGGAAGATGTGTGCCAGCGCGGCGCCATTGCCACGCAGTGCATCAGAGCGGGCGACGGCCGCAGCGGCGAGCAGCCCGGGCTCCTGGCCATGCACCATGTGTGGGTGGGGGAGCACAATCGCATCGCCATGGAGCTGAGTGAGCTGAATCCGCACTGGAGCGACGAGAAGATCTACCAGGAGACGCGCCGTATTATCGGCGCCATGTTCCAGCACATCACATACCGGGAGTTTCTGCCGGTAGTGCTCGGCCAGGAGGTGTGTAAGCTGTTTGACCTGCAGCTCTTGAGCACCGGCTATTACGAGGGCTACGATCCGAAGGTCAATCCGACTGTGGCCAACGCATTCTCTTCGGCAGCGTTTCGATTCGGCCACTCCCTGGTCCAGAACTCGTATATGCGATGCGATCGCCATCACAACATGATCAACAACAGTGAGAGCCTAAATGATCCGTAAATAAAATTACCGCTAATCAATTCCCTAATCCACAGACGTTAGTTTGCACGAGGAGTTTCAGAATGGCGACATTGGAACTGCGGGTTCGCTGCATCGTCTGCTACGCGGATTGGCATCCCAAAGAGCGCTCAAGCGAGACGAGTTCATTACGCCCGAGCTGACCAATCACTTGTTCCAAACGCCAGGATTTCCCTTTGGCCTTGACCTGGCCGCCATCAACATTCAGCGTGGGCGTGACCACGGCCTAGCTCCATACACTGCGTGGCGAGTGCCCTGTGGCCTCAGTCCGATTCAGACCTGGGATGATTTCGGTAATGCTATTCCCCCACCTCCCATTCACCATATTTACACCCGGTTTCTCTCTGCCCATCTCTGTCATAGCTAATGTGGTCGGCCCAGAGTCAGCGAAGCGAATTGGACACGCTTATCGCAGCGTTCACGACATCGATCTATTTGTCGGCGGCATTGCGGAAAGACCTGTAATAGGCGGACTGGTGGGTCCAACTTTTGCATGCATCATAGCCCAGCAGTTTAGCAACTCGCGACGCGGCGATCGTTTCTGGTACGAAAATGGCGGGTTCGAGAGCTCCTTCACGCCAGCCCAGCTCCACTCGATCAGAAGAGTCTCCCTGGCGCAAGTGCTATGCCGAGCAGTGGGCGGCGGCACGTTCCAGCCACATATTTTCATACCCGCTGAGTTTGCTGACAACGAACGCCAGACCTGCGGCACAGGCATACTGGGATTCATTGATCTAAGTCCTTGGCTAGAGCAGGATCCATTCTTGCCGGCCAAGCAACAGCCCGAGCACGTTTTTAGCATCGTAGAGTCAGAATTGCCCCAAAATGAAATAGGTGTCCGGCCGATCGTCAAGGAGGACAAGGCGGGTTTCTCCAACCGCGTGAAACCTATGCAGCCCCATGTTGACTTTAGCCCCAACTCAGCGACAGGCTTTCTCCGACCGACGAACGCCAACATAAGCAAGATAAACGACAAGCTCGACCTCAAACGTAAGACGCAGACCGTGACCAAGACAAAGACAGGCAACAATAACAACAGGAATACGAGTCCCACTCGGGGCGTAAGCAATAAGCTAGACAAGTCCCCCAAAATAACTATTAATATAAAGAACGTAAACATTAGAAAACCTGGAGGAGCAGGTCCGAAACGCACAGTGGTTATAAACAACATACCTCTAGAACTACGCAGCGCCGGTGATGGCAATATCACTTCATCTGCAAAGACTGACCACGAACTAGACACTATAGACGAAGACCCAGAACTACTTCATAATACAGAGCTACCGGAATTTCGAGATATCGACAGTGCACAGGATACGAACTTAGAGTCCGACTCGACTGTGACTACTGACAGATCGGAAACAACAACCGATAATACGATACAGCCACATTTACAAGGCAACAACACAGACGACACAC